ACTATAAACATGGCATTTAATATGTATATAACATTGTGGTAAATAAAAATCCTAAAAAGGTTCCAAAGCAGCCGGGTTGTTGGCGGGAAAACCTCCGTGGGCAGATAACCTTTCTGGATCAGATCTCCTCGGGAAGGTTTTCCAGCAGGTTTCAGGTTCGCAGAGGTGCTGAGCCAGCCCTCCCGGACCTCATTTGCATTCGCTCTTGAGTTGTTTTCATAAGTCTCAGCAAGAACTGACTTCCGCGCTAAAGTAAACACTTGAGTGCGGGTCTGAGCTGAGCCTCTGCATTAGGGGATCGGAGCACAAACTCCTCTCCTCTCTCTCCAGTCCCCGCAAATCACCTCAAAATGGCCCCAAATGGTGGCTCCAAGTGCCTATGAAAGGGTACATTCTTACGACAGTTTTTACTGGTCTACCATAAAATAAGGGAAATAAAAACAGTTTCCTGAGCTCTTTGTAATGCCTTTTCCCCCCATTTAAAAATGTCTTTTATTTTGAAATTATATCATTTCTTCTCCTTTTTTTTGGTTTAATTAAAATGTTCTTTTTTAATAAAGATGGATGGCAAATGGTAGTGTGTTTTTCTAACACCCTCCAAGTGGAAAGCTGGCTACTGCTCTTTGGTGCCGAAGACGTTTTTTGGATATTTTACTGGTGCATGAAATCCAGAAGTTAGGGACACTTTGGGAAGGAGGGGGCAATAGTGTCACGTATCCTTTTGCTTGAAGGAGATGAAGCAAAACATTCCTCTGTCAAATGAGTACGTATTTCAAAACTGAAGGATCTGAAAGGAAATCAGCCAGCTCAGAATGGCCTATGGCAGGGGCTGCTGCTGAAAGCAAATAAGGGAGCACCGAGGTCCGGGAGAGACCGTTCCGTGCAGCGCTGTGGGGATTTTCAGAGGGAAAACTCCCACACACGGAGGGCCCAGAAGTCTTTATGTTTTACTTCTAGAGCCTCATCACTTTCATTTTTCCTCAAGAGCAGAGATTGTGCCTTACCCTTGAGGCCCCAGGATGGGGGATGAGGCTTGAGTGAGTCTTCATTGATAGATTATTGGTGAAATGTTAGGAAGCAGGAAGCCAAGATGTCCAAGTTTGATTGATTATTGGTGAATGGTTATCAAGCATGATGCCACATTGTCCATGGTTAGCCATCGAGGACACACCCTGGCCCCTCCCTGATGAAAGCCCGCATCCTCAGACAACCGAAAGGAGATGGATGCTGTTACCAGCCTCCCTGTGCCCACTTGCCCATGCCAGGCCTTGGCCATTCATAATTTGGACTCTTCCATACTTCCCTGGCACGCTCTTACTCACTGAGGATTGGGCATGTGGAAAGTTTCAGCTTTGGGAATTCAGCTCTATGGAGTTAGCACGATGCCAAAAGAAAAGGGAACAAAAAGAAAACTTTCTAAATTGCTTTGAAAGTAAGAAATAGGAGGCATTGCTCCTCCAGCCCCCTGCCTTCTGGCTGTGCCCCTTCTACCTTCACTCTGCTCCAAAACAACAAAGCAGAGGTTTGCTCAGATTTTCCACACAAAACCCCCACCTTTGGGAGGAGACCAAATTTGGAATGGGCAGGCCTGGGGAAGGTTCTGGAAAGAGCTCCCACTATGTGGGCTGCTCCTACCATTCGCCGAGAGCATCTGCGATCAACCACTTGGTAGCAGTAAGACACGGGGGTGGGAGTCAGTGGGATCTAGTTTGACTGCAGCTCAGCCACATCCCCGCTGGGTGACCTTGGGCACGTCTCATCTCATTGAGATTCTCTAAGTGGTGCCTCCTCAGTTGTCTCATCCATAAAGTAGGTCTGAGAATTCCTGCCTCAAAGAGTTGTTGTGAAACTCAATAGAGATCATGGATGTGGAAGTACTTCGTACTCTTGAAAGCTGTGCTGTCCAATATTGTGTAACGCTGCAGCCACGGGCTGCCTGTGGCGATGTAAGATGAAATCGGTTAAAGTTAAATAGCATTCAAAATTCAGTTTCTCGGTTGCACTAGCCACATTTCAAGGGCTCAATGGCCATGTGTGGCTCCTGGCCACCGTGTTGAACAGAGGATAGCACATGCCCATCATCGCAGGAAGTTCTATTGGACAGCTCTGCAAAGCAAAAAACCACCATAACCCCAATGGGAGCAGCAAGGGGGCTTCTGAACTTCTCTGCTATGACCCTTTCCCCAGAGAAAGGTAAGGTCAACGCACGCTCCAGTTAGACCAGCAGTTCTCAACCTGTGGGTCGCGACCCCTTTGGCGGTCGAAGGACCCTTTCACAGGGGTCGCCTAAGACCATCCTGCATATCAGATATTTACATTACGATTCATAACAGTAGCAACATTACAGTTATGAAGTAGCAACGAAAATAATTTTATGGTTGGGTCACAACATGAGGAACTGTATTTAAAGGGCCAGAAGGTTGAGAACCACTGAGTTAGACCAAGCCCTGTGGCCCAGAAGGCAAGGCTGTTTTCCAGGTGTTAAATTCAGCCAGTCCCCTCTCTACACCTGCCACCACCTACCAGGGAAGGCTTTTGTCATCAGCTCTCTCTCTTGGGCCCAGGGACACCTCCTCCCTCCATCTATAACCCCTGAGGGGAGGCACTGACTTCAGGGTGGTCCCCTTAGGCCTGTGGCCTCCTCCAAGGCCTCCAATGCCACCCCCTCTTGTCTGGAAAATGAGCCTCCACTCCAGATCAGACTCTGGGCCCAGACCCCCCACCCCCACACACACACCTGAAGCTCAGCTGCTCCCCCATTAAAACTCCATCTTCTCTAAAATTTGTGTCAGTGCGCCACTTAGGATCTACCCACAGAGCTACCCTATTCCTCCCTCAC